GCACAAATGCTGGCTAGAACTTTCTCTGGCATAGCAGCCGTCATCGGAGTGCGGATGAATCCGGGCATGATTGTATTAACTCGAACACCTTTTGCAGCTAATTCTTTAGCAGCAGATTTTCCAAAAGCTACAACGGCAGCTTTTGTCGCAGCATAATTGCACTGTCCAAAATTCCCGACTTTTCCAACAATGGATGACACATTCACCACAGAGAGAGGAACATTGCTTGATACAGCTGACTTTGCAAATGCCTGAGTCACCAAGTACACTCCTTTTAAGTTGACATTGACAACATCATCGAAGTTTTTCTCGGACATTTTCAACAAGGTCGAGTCTCTCGTGATTCCAGCACAATTCACCACAATATGCGGTGGTGATTTGTTCTGTTCCAATGTGAAATCGAAAAGTTTTGCGACATCGTCGGACTTACTGACATCGCAGGAAAAGGCGGAATGGTCGCTGGCTGTTTTCAGCATCTTCACCGTGTCCATGGCTGCATTCCTGTTCATGTCTGCTACGATGAGCTTAGCTCCATGGTTTGATAGTCGCTGACATATGGCACGACCGATTCCTGACCCGCCACCAGTCACTACAGCTAATTTTCCAGTCAGCATCGTCGACCGGGAAAAGGAGGTACTCTGGAAAAGAAAACAATAGTTACTGCAGGAAAAAATCTTGATGAAAACGATGTACGGGCAAAAAAGTTTCTGAACCATTTCACTCATTTGCAATAAGATTTTCTTATGCTTGTTTCTTCGAGTGATGGCCGGAATTTATTGTAGACAAAACGGACAATAACCACATCCAGTTCAAAAACTATATGGTAATGCAGAAGGGTACAATTCCAGGATTCTTAAAGCAAAAGGCATTAGAGTAGTGCATGAAAGCGTGATAAGTAATGTATTAATTTGGGTGCTTGCAAAGTTGCCGAAATTGGTAGGATTCCATCGAAAAAGAAATGTGAATAGCAATGTTCACACTATTATATAACTTAAAAGAGACAAAAATTTTCGCTAAGCAAAAGTCTCGCACAAACGGACGATGGAAACTTTTCAACAGCGAAAATCAACCTGAGTAGGAAGCCCAAGTCATAAATCGTGATTTAGTAGGGGATATATCTTTAGATATTATGTAACACTAATATGATGTCGAGATATAATAAGCATAAAAACAAGTCGATCCAGAGGTAATACTGATTGATAGAGAGATACGAGAAAAGCTCTTTTATTCCCTTTAATTTCGTAAGAGAAGAGGAATAAAAAGCAAGGGGAATATTTGCAGCAGGATTTAAAAGGTAATGAAGGAGAGAAATACAATTCACCGAATTAAAGCTAGAGAGGAAGAGGAACATTCCTCTCTAATTATCAAAATTATATTGAAGTTAGTTTTGAAACATAAAAAACACCAAGTAAACATGCTTTACAACTCAGGGACGAGAAAAAGTGCTGTACCCTCGAATTCGCGAAAAGAAGCAAGAAGTGTGGTGAAAAAGCACGCAACTTGTACTACAGTAGGGCAAATTGGGCGATTATCAGCATTGGGTATCTTCAACTTCTGTTGTAAAATGTTATTAAAATACATACAAGATTAGAGCTGGAAGTGCGACGAGGTGTAGAGAGGAGGTTTTTGAGATTTTTGGAACATACTCAAACTTCCATATTTGCTTTACAAGTGATGTTTGTGTCAAGGAAGTTGTGCTTTACATCTTCAAATTAGCAGCAATGACACAGGCTACAAAATCCCGACAATTGCCAATCAAGATTAAGTGCAAAATTGAATCGGTGTCTTCCTAGCGCACTGTATCTCAAAGCTACCATATAAATAGATGTATTGAAGTTCCCTAACCTGTAATCGTTAAGATAAAGTATATGGTTGTATAAGGTTTGACCCTCGTTCTGGTTAAATCTGGTAATTGTATGCGTGGCATTAAAGGTTCGCAAGTGGGCTAGGACCACAAACTTTGGACAGTAAGGCGCGGGG